AAGAGCGGATGCCAGCACTGTGTCTTCGGTGGCCAGCATAATCAGTCCGCGTGGAAACTTTATTTATTTGGATGAGAGCTTTTTGAGAAGGCAGAACTTCTCTGTATCTCCGCTGTCCAGCTCTTAAATCTATGTGCAATTCTGCAAGTCACAGGAGAAAACATAAATGAGACGCTGAACAGAGGAAATGTATCTGTGCAAAGGAAACTCCAAATTGGTCCCTCTAGGACCTCCAAACCACAATAACAAACAACAGAAAGAGAAGCAAGCGGCACTAGGCGACATGCATACAAAGCATGTACAAAGCACCCCATGAGTCAGACCGATGGCCTGTTTCCCTGCAATAACCAGGACCAAGCAGAGAGGCGATGGTCACCAGCAAGGCTTAGCAAAGCCAGCGGCAGTTGAAGGTCCTCAGGCACTGCTCTGTGATGAGGCAATACACGGACTTTGCAGCGCCCAAAACCCAGGATAGGGCCAACTGCTAAATTACATCCAAAGCTCGAGTTCCCTAAACGCCAGGAGGCTGCAGAAGCTATTTGTCTCTTAGCCCAAAGGCGTCACATCATAGAGAAACTCCCCAGAACAGCCACCTTACAAGAGGGTTATTCACTTCTTACTCATCCTCTGCTTGAATGCACAACAACTTTCAAGTGCAGACTTCTTTTCCGGTACAACGCAGCCTTAAAAAAGCCACATATTACCCTTGCCTCTTTTTAAAGATATAGAAGGTGTGCAGAACTCACGTTCAAGCTAAATCGTTCTCAAAAATGAAGTAGGGAAGGAAGCAGAGAGGGGAGGGGAGCCCCCGGCCCCTTGCTCGGGAGCCCCCCAGGAGAGGAATTGCTTTGCAGGCAGTGGCAGCAGGGCTGCCCCCAGCTCTTCACCCTTTCTGGGGGGCTTCTAGGGCTTGTCTGCTAGTGTAGCTGAGCCACACATGTGCGTTCAGGAAACACCGAATTACCGTAGCACCGAGGCTGTGAGCTGTGGCTCCTCAGTTGCCTCACTGCAGCCAGCTGGGACGTGCCTGCAGCAGGGCAGAAGCCCTCTATAGTAGGTTCGGGAGGGAACTCTGGGCTGGGACGCCTGCATCTGCTGTCCCCAGTCCCTGCTTCTCAGTCACAACCTCAGAGGAAACAGAAACTAGGGTCAGGAGAGCTTATAGCTGAGCTTTAGCTCTGACCCTCCAGTGAGGTCCCATTTTGGCCTCTGTATCTACACAAGAATTAAGCAGTATTCAGGCTCTGAGGCTCCAGAGGCCTCCTATCCCAGAAGAGGACCCCATGGGCTGACTGCAGGGTGACCAATACACCCTATATGAACATATATAAGCACTTACGAACATATGGGATATCTACATGTGGCATATGTACTGTGTAAGCCAGGTCAAAACGCTAGCTATCGTACCATCTGCTTGCATGTCTGTATGTAACCTGCTTTAACTACCCCTTCTAGGCTGGGTGATTTCCTTTGTTTTATTACCAAGATAGCATGTTCCCTGAAATATATTAGAAATATACTTGTCCTTCTGCTGAAGCAAGAGAGAAACATCAGGACCAGGAAAACTACAGTCTGTTAAGCTCTGTCATCTCTTATTTATCTAACACTCCTGGCAAATTACTCTGGATAAACAATAATTGAGATTTGTCCATGTTACATTTTGCGAATCACTTTATAAATTACCTTAGGTACAAAGTATGGTTTCTGCTTTCTATCTGGATGGTGAATAATGAATGACAGCTAACAAACAGCAAACAGCTCCTAGTGATAACGCTGCAACATGCACACAATGATTTGGAATTTGTAAACATTTCAATGAATACTAATGATTGTCTGAATAGCTAGAGATTACAAATAACACCAGATCACAAACAGTCACAGAATGAAAGTGGTCTGTGGGTTCGTTAAACATTATGGGGAAAAAAAAGCCCTTTCTCCATCACACCTGAGGTGATATCAGGTCCTCTCCACTGCGGCCGTGCTGCAGCTGCATAGCTGGGCTGCTCACCACCCCGGTGGGAATTCAGTCGGGTGTGTGGTTAAATCTGGCCTTCCTCAAGGCAGCGCTGAAGCCACACACTAAGTTCCTCGAAGCCTCCCAGGGGCGCACTGCACCCTCCAGCCGTTATCCAGGAGTTTCTCGCACACACAGCATCCTCTGCTCTCCCACCCATGGCTCCCAGAGCCCACAGTGACAGCCTCCATCGGGACGCGGCAGCGGCAGGGACCGAGTCCTCTGCTTCATGGAGTGGCTTGGGGACACTTGGCTCCCTGAGGAAGGGGACACATCGCGTCAGGCAGATGCAGGCCTGCCCAGCTGCCTGCCCATCAGGCACAGCCTGCCTGCACTGCCCCCGCACAGCCCCTGGAAAAAAGAAAGCCCGGATCTAAATGCGGAGCCAGCACATTGTCTCAGTGTTCTCAGGCAAGGTAAGGGACAGGATGAGGCTGGTCCTTGCTGGAGGCCAGGCTTTGGTGGGTGCCGCCAAAGGCCACCCCTGCGGGAGTGCTCGGCAGGCTCCCTGCCTGCGCCGTGCTGAGAGGTGCTCTCACCTCCCGGCTCTGCTGGCTGCAAATGGTTTACCGTGATTCAAAAGAGCCCTTTCACCCTCCTCCCAGCAGGATCAGCATCTGCTATCAAGACAGTGGCCGTGGTGGTGGGTTTGAAGAGGAATTCTGCGAGGCTGTAACAGTTCCTGATGTGAAAATAGCTGTTGGAGTAATGAGAAGGCAGCAAACCGCCTGGGCATTAGCTTCATGCATGTTTCTGGGTTTGCACAATTTTCTTGCTTTGCTTTTTTGATCTCTGTTATTCAAAGACGTACACAATTTGTCAGACTTCCCCAGAAAGAAAGGCATTTGGCCAGGGTCTCCAGCCAGTATCCTTCTCTGGTTTCCAGTGTTGCTGCTCTGCATGTCCCCCTGCCGTTCTCCAGAGATGGTGATTGTGGTGAGCTGATCCGATCCCGGTGACACGACACCCATGAAGACATTTCCACTCCTGCAGTCTGGAGCAGGCACCACACACAGGGGTTTTACAGTGGTAGGTAACTTCATCCTGGAGTATCATCAACTGAACAAAGTACTCAAACAAAAGTTATTCTCTTTAGCTATGAAAAGCTAAACAAGTGGAGGGAGGAGGGAGCTGGGGACTGTGGGCAAGGACTACTCCTTGGTTTGCAGACCAAGTGGCATGGCCACTTGGTAAAGAGTCACCTGCTCCCAGGCAGCCTTACCTTTTCCTCCTGCTGCCAGTGAGGAGCACGGTCAAGGGCATCACCCTCTTTCCTCCCCCTGCCCGGAGACCACTCCTGGCTGACCTCTGATTAAAAGACAGATTAAGCCTTGATCTCCACTCCTCTCCATGGAGGCAGAGACCCCGAGGCAGGAACCGTAAGCACTCCCCATGGCCTTTACCCTGGGGGGATGCTTTGGGGAGATGCAGGGATGTTCCTGTGGGGAATGCAAGGATACTCTGGGAGGATTCAAGGACGCTCCCGGGTTGAGGGGGAAGGAGGAATGTAGGGATGCTCCGGGGTAATGTAGGAACGCTCCCAGGTTGAGAGGGGAAGGGGGAATATAGGGATGCTTCAGGGGGATGCAGGGATGCTCGGGGGGATT